TATACAAAGTCACATAAATTATTTAATATTTTTACTTTATTATTTGTAAATCCTCGGTAATTTCAAAATTTTTCTATTTGAAAATTATTAATTTTCTATTGCCAATTAATTTTATCACAGACTTTACTCTTACTCCCATTGCACTTTCGTTTGCGGTTTTCAGTATACGATTTTTTATCGTAGTTACTGAAAATTATTATTGTGAATTATACTTGTGCAGTGATTTGAAGAATTTACAATTTCGTTGAAATTGTTGATTTTTCAAAAAAATTACGAGATTCGCGGAAATTGCGTGCTTTCTTGGCATTTTCCGTTCGCGGCAGGCGGTTTATTTTTGATTGTTGCAAGTGTTTTTGTTTTTTTTTATTAAAATAGATAATAATAATGTGAAATAAATCACGATATTTGACAGATGTGCATATATATAGAAATTGTAATAATAATAATATTATATCATAAAATTGTAAATTGTTTCAATTTTTTATAGACTGCGATAAAAGATTTTACATTTGGATAAGAAACTGCGGTAAGTAAAAATATAAAATTCTTGAAAACGTAAAAATATTTGATAACGTAAAAAGGTGAACTTTGAAAAATAAGGAACTTAAAAATTGCACTAATAAATGGGCTATATATATATGTGAGCCGTGCGCGGATGTAAGGTGTGTTATATCGAAATTTAATTAATAGAATTGAGAATTAATCCCAATTTTAAGTCTTACAAATGTCCAAGCTAATTTTTTGTACCTCGTGTACATTTTTGAAAGTTATATCGAAAAATTAAATTTCAATATGCGTCTTACATCTCACATTTCGCATACGGCTCACATATAGCCTATTTATCTCTTATACTTTATTTCAACCCTTATAGAAATTTATTACTAGTAACGCCAATTTATCACTTATTTCGAGTAATTAATCACTTTTATTTCGAATACTTAAATTACTGTATATTATAGTATTTTAAATACTCAAAATAAGTGATTAATTGGCGTAGTGATAAATTTCTACAAGAGAATAAGGAGCCTTTAAATTCTTAATGTAAAAAATTTCAAGTAATTTTCTTTAATAAAATTTAATTAAAAAATTTAATTAAAAAATTTTAGAACACTGTGTTATATCACATTTAAAATCGTGATTATTTCAATAAAAAAACATTTTATGTGTAAAAAATATATTTTTTATATTTAATAAATTTTATATATATATGCATATATGTAAAATATTTCTCTCTCTCTCTCTCTCTCTCTCTCTCTCACACACACACACACACACACACACACAACGGGGGCCAAATCTCTCAAATTGGTCTCATGATCAATTAGCCTGGATTCGCACCAGGGGCAAAGTCTGTTGGTAATGTCAAACGAATTTAGCCTGGACTTGCACCAGGGGCAAAGTCTTTTGGTCGAGTCTACGAAATTTAGCACGGACTCGAACCAGGGGCAAAGTCTTTTGGTTCAAGTCTACGAATTTAGCACGGACTCGAACCAGGGGCAAAGTGTGTCGGTAAGGGGCAAAGTCTATCGCACGAAGATGGCGGTCTCTTCTTTAGGCAGGCCTTTGGCGATCTGTCTATTAAGGGTCGGCAGGCGACATGGTGGAGACGCCTATCGGCCGGCCGGGAATTACGGATTCTTATTTTCCAGATATTAGCGAAAATATTGAATGAATCTTATTAAATTTAGGATATTCTTAATCAGTAAGCTCATTTGTAGTCCTCTAAAGAGCTATTTTATGAAAAAAAGATAAAAATAAAAATTTTTAATAAACTTGGGGGAATGCACAGCTAGGAACGGGTAAGGTTGGGTTAGCCGCGAGTCCGTATTTTATTTATTATAAATTTTTAAGAGCGAAAATGTAAAATCCGGCCTTTTAGAGGACTGCTTTATTATATAAAGAATATATTAAAAAAAAATTCACGAAGTTATGTCACTTATTTTATGAAATATCTGGACGATAAGATTCTCACTAGATTCATAAGGAGCAGGGGAAATTTCTGTGGTAACATGCTGACTGCTTGACAAGGAGAGAGCATCATTCCATCTTTGTCTCTCTTACATCGCATATGTAGTAGCGTCCATGTAGGTACAAACACTAATACGTGAGCACACGGATGCAAATATTGAGAGATAATGTCAGCAAAAAGGCTATCATATTATTTTTATTTTTTTGTATATGTATGCATATGTAAATAAAGAACAAAAATAAAAACTATTTTAAGATGACATTTTATAATTAATTTTCTATATGTATTTGCATTTTATTAATATGTATTACATTTTTGATATGTTTTTAATTTATAATTTATATAAACATAAGTATGAAATAAAAATTGAAATAGTTCTGAAAATAAGTATATTAATGATAAAATTATTCAAAACAATAAAAAAATTAAATTTAATATTTTTTAGTGTTTGTACCTACATGGACGCTACTACATATGCGATGTAAGAGAGACAAAGATGGAATGATGCTCTCTCCTTGTCAAGCAGTATTAAAAGCCATATTAAAAGCTCTAGCTTCATTCAATTAATAATCCAATATAATAATCAACAATTATTTTTATATAATATATAGTATTTTTAAATATTTTTAAATATTTAAAAATATTTTTTTAAGATTAATTGAGGAAAAGAATATTTTAAATATAAAAAAATATTTTAAATATTTTTTTTCAATTAATTTTTAAAACAAATTTTTAAAAATATTTTTATATATTCAAATATTTATTATATTATATAAAAATTATTGTGAATTATACTCATTGGAGTAATAATTATTGATTGAAGCTTGTTATGGCACAAACTGAACATCTTGTACATTGTCTGTATAATATTTTACTTATTTATAAAATGTTTTTTATAAATAAATGAAATATTATATATATATAATATATAAGATTATAATATATAAGATTATTGATGTTACATTGTATAACTCTCATTTCTTTCTCTCTGCTACATAAGTACTTATGACGTGAAAGAACTTACGAGTAACGTATGATGGCTCAATGCAAGAATATTTAATCACGTAAAAAACTTGAGTTCAAATATATCAATATCAATTTTTTTATAATATATTGGAATATAGAAAATCATAGAAATATATTTTTTATATAGGCGATAAACTTAAAAATTTGATATTGAAAATATTTTAATCATTTTACAACTACACATACTATAAATATATAAATGCAAAATAATTCCGTAAATAAATTTCAAGTAATAAATCAATTGCACACATGCACACAGCTGGTATGTAGATTTTTATTAAATTTATTTTCTGAATTATTTTACACTTATATATAGTGTATGTAGTAAAAATATTTTCAATATATTAAAAAATTTTTAAATCGCCGAAATATATTTTTTTATCATTTTTCTATATTCTAATATATATATATATATATATATATATATATATTATAAAAAAATTGATATTGATATATTTGAACTCTAATTTATATACTGGATGATATACTGAACATCCTTGCATTGATTATACATTACTCAACGTTCTTTCACGTTATAAGTATTTGGAGCAAATTATACAATAGTATCAATAATCAAAAAGAAATCAAGAATATAATCAACATATCCCTTATATATATATATATATATATATATATATATATATATATATATATATATATATATATATATATATATATATATATATATATATATGTTATATATATACGTTATGCACATATGTGCATAACCATATATACAATTTCCAAAAAGTGGGTGTTTATTAGTCTTGCTACGTTACTGCTTTCTGCTACGGAAGGCCAGAAAGCATTTTCAGGCGGCATCTCGCGTATACCGGCACGGTAGATGAACAAGGAGAACACGTGATTATCGGTCCTTGTCTCTCTTACGTGCGTCCGCGTGAGCGATGCAGTTGGTGTATGTACGTGTACAGACATACACCACTACATAAAACCCGAGAATTGGTTTCTCGGCGTTGGCAACACTGAAACCGGAGTTTCGCGTTGTCACCGCACGAGGTCTCCAATATCAATTCGGAGTTTGCCTGGGTGTACTGCCGACCCTTAAGGGTCATTCCATCTTTGTCTCTCTTACATCGCATATGTAGTAGCGTCCATGTAGGTACAAACACTAAAAAATATTAAATTTAATTTTTTTATTGTTTTGAATAATTTTATCATTAATATACTTATTTTCAGAACTATTTCAATTTTTATTCATACTTATGTTTATATAAATTATAAATTAAAAACATATCAAAAATGTAATACATATTAATAAAATGCAAATACATATAGAAAATTAATTATAAAATGTCATCTTAAAATAGTTTTATTTTGTTCTTTATTTACATATGCATACATATACAAAAAAATAAAAATAATATGATAGCCTTTTTGCTGACATTATCTCTCAATATTTGCATCCGTGTGCTCACGTATTAGTGTTTGTACCTACATGGACGCTACTACATATGCGATGTAAGAGAGACAAAGATGGAATGATGCTCTCTCCTTGTCAAGCAGTCAGCATGTTACCACAGAAATTTCCCCTGCTCCTTATGAATCTAGTGAGAATCTTATCGTCCAGATATTTCATAAAATAAGTGACATAACTTCGTGAATTTTTTTTTAATATATTCTTTATATAATAAAGCAGTCCTCTAAAAGGCCGGATTTTACATTTTCGCTCTTAAAAATTTATAATAAATAAAATACGGACTCGCGGCTAACCCAACCTTACCCGTTCCTAGCTGTGCATTCCCCAAGTTTATTAAAAATTTTTATTTTTATCTTTTTTTCATAAAATAGCTCTTTAGAGGACTACAAATGAGCTTACTGATTAAGAATATCCTAAATTTAATAAGATTCATTCAATATTTTCGCTAATATCTGGAAAATAAGAATCCGTAATTCCCGGCCGGCCGATAGGCGTCTCCACCATGTCGCCTGCCGACCCTTAATCTGTGGCAGGATAAAGGCATGATGCATAAATATCTAGATTCGACGCGAACTTTAGACGGAGAGGATATGACGTCGAATCGAGTGCAACTTCCAAGCAATCTATGATCAGCTGATTCTTTCATATATTTGCATTTTAGCTGACTCGTTTAAAGAAATCGGTCGTACACACGGAGTGGTGGAGGGGAAATGGATCTCCGAACGAGATCCTTGCTGTTATTGGACGATACGAATTGTTTGCGTCGTACATTTGACGATGGATACTTGATAATCAAGCACTTGTCGCAACATTGCGAAAAACTCTTCGCGAGCTTGTTTTCATAGTGAGTGTTTTCGTCGTTTTTCGACATCGTAGTCGACAGTATCGCGGCACGTAATTCTTGTGCCAAAAATGATCGTGTTCAGTGTATTGTCTGTTTTCCAAGAATAAATTGAGCCACAGTCAAGCATTATCATATCATGGATAGCGTGACAGTGAGTAGCCTTTAACCTCGTCTCCTCATCATTGTGCTCTTTATTAAACTCTAGTCTTGCAAACAATCTGTATCACCTGACAATACATGCTCCAATTGTATTATTTTGTCAAAAGTTAAATCAAATTTGAAATAATATGAAAAAATATGCATCCAATAATTTTATGGAAATTTGACAATTTTATTGTACTTTGGCAATAAGTAGATCTGTTAATTTTAATTACACTTCATTATGTGTTTTATGTTTCCTTTCTTTTTTTTTCTTCAAAGTCTATGTATTTTATTTTAAAGACAGAGAAAATGAAATGTATATATGCAGGATATAAAAAAAATTGTCACATAGATTTATATAATATATAGAATATATTATATAAATATATAGAATTTATAGATATAAAACTCTAGCTCTTTTCTATACATCTACTTATGTTATCTCATATTTATTACATGACTATGCATGTTTAGAATAAAAATGTCATTATGCATATGATTAAAAATCAAAATGGCATTTTCTCTTCTACAAGAAGTCCTACAGTAGAATAAGAAAATGGGATTGAAATAGCATGTTAAAAATAGAAAAATTTTGTTCCAATAAGTTAAGAATGCAGATATTTGTAAAACAGGTGATACCAAAAGTTTTTATATAGATATTTTTATAATATTTATATATTTGTGTAGATGTTATATTTAAAATATGACAGATAGCATATCTGTGCTTTTTACTATAAATATATATTTCAAATATTGTTATAAGTTTTGTATTTCTAGGGGATAATATATGCAATATGTCGAGGATTTGTGGACAGTTGGAAGGGTGCTGTTGTACTCTTTTACATGGATAAACAAATCAATGAGAAGTTAGTTGTGAACCCTCCTACGTCTAGGAATGTTCCTATTAGAACAGAAACTGAACTCAGAAACAGAGACTTATCTATGCAAAACTCCATTAGGCACAATAATCAACAACGGTAACTTTATTCTTATTTTATGTTTGTGGAAAGTAGATATAACAATAATGTTTTATACTAGAATTAATTAATTTGTATGTTTGTATGCTTTTAGAAAATCTATGGTAATGAGGAGAACTTTACAATGTTGTGCATTGAATGGTGGTGTGTTTTGGGCTAGTATAGCAATATTTGAATATGGTCTTTTACCATTTGTCAAGTATTTATTGACTATTATATTTGGCCATTCTCCTGGCATGGGTCTTTTTGTATGGTCATGGATTCAGCCATTTTTATCTTTAACATTTGGCACAATATGGGTGTTACCACTGTTTTTGCTCAGTAAGATAGTCAACAGCTTATGGTTTCAGGTATAATTTTTTACAAAATAATAATTTTATTTAAAAATGAATATTATTAAACTTACATTTTATATATCACATGATATAAATATAATATATTTATAAACTCTGTAGGATATCGCAGATAGCGCTTACAGATACAGACAAGGGAGACCATTGCTTCTGTCAAGTGTGAGCAGACTGATAGCAGATACACTTTTCAGTGTGTTGGTTCAAGCATTGTTCTTAGGACAAGGAATGTTGGTGTCTAAAGTTCCGTTACCATTGTTAGGGGATATTCTTGCCCTTGTTCATATGTGCCTTTTATATGCTCTCTATGCCTTTGAATACAAATGGTTCAACATGGGTTGGGAGTTACATAAACGATTGACTTTTATCGAAGGCAACTGGCCGTACTTTTTAGGCTTTGGTCTGCCATTAGCAGTACTTACTCAATTGCCCAGTTCGTATGTTACAAGGTATGAAACGATTATCTTTTTGAGAAGATATGTTCTATTTGAAGACAGATATTTGTTTTTCCTAAAATCTTGAGAAACTTCAAATTAATTACAACTTATATCAGAATTAATTGATAATTTTTCCTTAATTTTTCCATGTTAACAAATTTCCATTGTAAATATTGTTAACAAATTCGAATTTTCATTGTAATTAGTCTCTACATTTGTTATTAGTTTGTTATTGAAAGAACCTGCAATAATTCTCTGAAACTCTTTGTATTTAGAAAATAATTTATTTTTCAGTGGCTGTGTTTTTTCTATTTTATTTCCGCTATTTATTATAAGTGGAAACGAAGCAGAACCTGTAACTGGAACATGGTATATCTTCAGATTATAAAATATGTGTATATTTCTTACTTCTTTCTATATTTTATTTGAAATTTAACATGATATAAATAATTGTTTCAGTGATTGCCAACTGAAATTATTTTCACCAGTAATTGCAATTGCAAATACATTATTTAATAAAACTATTGGACGAGCTAATAGGCGGTGACAGTGAGAAAGAAAAAGACAAGAAAATGCCTAATTTATGCCGTTAGTATGCTAAAATGCACATACAATTTACTAATTTGTTACAAAAAATTTTATGCATAAATAATTATATAAATTGCTATTCAAAAACTATTTGTATATATCTATTACTTACTATTGCAGGAAATTATATTACTTTTATTATATTTTGATTGCTTATAAATTTTTAAGAAAAAATACAAAAATATATTTGCTTTTTTTATTAAATAAAATTAAAATAAAATCATAAATTTTATATTCTTTTCTTAGTATTTGTAAAGAATTTTTGACCATATTTCAATTGGAATGCAGGGCCAATCAGTACAAATATTTATTTACGCATATTTAATAACGCACATATAACTTATTTATATATGTAATTTCTTGTATTTAATGATATCGCCGACATATACATAATATACAAATTTAAAGTTATATATTTCTCAATTTTTATGAGAATTTATATTTTGAGCTTTTTATATATGCAATAGCTAGTCATTTTCAATATCGATTTATGATCTCCAATCGGCGCTGCGCTATAAGCGTATCATAAACATGTAAAAATAGTATGCTGACAGAATTTATATATACATATATCCAATTTAGTAATGAAATCTCAATATAGAATAGTTAAATATTTTTTAAATATTAAAATAATCCTAAATATGTTTAGTGCTTTATACATGACTATTTAAATTTTTTTTAGGAATGTTATATTAAAAAAGTTATTTAATTTGAAGAAATTTTAGATTAGAATGTCGATTGTCTGTACAGTGACATGCTATGATATATCTTGTCAGTTTTACAAATTAATTAACATCACTCTTTAGAAGCATATAATATTTCTCTTACTTGAATTTACATTAATTGTGTAATCATATTATAATGAAACAAATAAAAGAGCATGCAATAATATTTTTACTTTACACGTACATATGTATCAAATAATATAAAATAAATTAATAAAGTTTCACAAGAATGTTTAATCTTCATGATACAGACAATCGATTGTAAGTATATATATAAAAACACTAATAGAAATATTTTAATTATTGATCGTGAGTATAATTAAATATGTAGTGTGCCATACATACATATCATTTACTTGAATAACATTCGTCCGAGAAATAGGTTTACACATATAAAATTAAGAGAAAAATATTATAAATCATATGATAAACACTGCTAATTAATAATGTATAATATAATATTCCAATTTGTATAGTATGGTTATAGGAAAAAATGCTCTGATTATATATATATACATATATTTGTCATAAAATTTAATCATTTTATATACACTATAGCTCAAATAAATATTATAGAACTATTAAAGTTTTCTATTTGCATTCATTATTAAAATGTTTTTATTAGAAATTTCTCAAATGCAATCCAATTTATATACCAAAATGCTAAAAACGTATATTACTATTGAGAATAAAAAGTAGTAATACTATTAATAAGTTATACTATAGCAACTGATAAATCTTTTTGTTTTAAATATATTTTAGATATATGAAAAGTTTTATTTATTAATTTTAAATTATATAATTGTGTATGTAAGTTAAGTTAATAGATTAGATTAGCAATCACGCAAGAAGGTCTTGAAGTGTTAATAGATCATGATCTGAAGGTTCTTCCTTTACTCTATAAGAATTTAAAACATAATGTCTGTGTAATGCTGTAAAACTCAGTCCTGGATCAGTTTCCATTTCTATTACTGGACTTGTAGCTCGTTCAATGACATGATTTTTACTGACCTGCAATATATATATAAATTTTTAAATAATATAATGAATACTTGATAACATTTTAAATTTAGAGATTTAAAATATAATATCCTAATCTATCACAATCTTTTCCAAATTCAGATTTAAAGTGAATGTCACTTAATAAAATTTAGGTAGAAATATCTTAAGATATGTAATTTTAAATTATGGCTGTGAAAAATGATATATTTTGAATAAATAATACTTTTTTTTCCTAATTTGAATCTTATTCATTGACTTCATTCATTGATTTATTAATATATAATCTTAAAAGATTATATATATACATACTTCAAAACGTTGTTGTTTGTACATGGCCAATTTGCGTGTTCCTGGAGAACTTTGTATTAAGTTTTGTATAGTAGGATGAGAAATCCCAAAGAAATCTGCGCCCTTTGGTGCTATCGAACAAAGCACTGGAGAAATTGCTGCTAAGAGTTTTGAATGACACTCATCAGGACTACATCCAACCAATGGTTGATCCAAGTCATTATCAGATACTATTTCAAATCTATAAAATTATGTGCATTTGTATATCAATATTTCCAATTTTTTCCAAAAATAATTATTTTATCAAGCTACTTTCTTATTTTATACCTAGGTTTTGGTCCACCATCTAATATTTTACAGGTATACAAGCTTTTTGTTCTTGGATCTCTTAAGTTAGCATACACTCTTGTACTACAATAGCCTACTGGAAATATAAGATCTTCTGTGTGATATGCAATTCTGTCTGATACCACTTCACCAAGAGAATATATTGTGAGATCTCCCAAAGCTATGGGAAATATTGGCCTCCCATGTACATCTAATGGAATCAACTGCACTACTCTTCTGGCAGTTTTGTTATACCTTTTGGTCTTATTCTTTGATTCTAGAAAAAAATTATAAGTTAAAACATTTTTGTATAAATTAATGAGTATTGCTAGTGTATTATACATATTTCTTGCTATATAAATTAATAAGATCTTAGTGCATTAAACTGATTTCTCAAATTTATTTTTATGTAGCAAATAATTGGCAATATGTTATAAAGAAATACCTGATCCATCTGAAGGAGCTTTCTTTTTCACTGTCTTTTTTGATGCAGCACATTCTGGATTAAATGATGGTGAATTTACATTATTTGACTGTGAACGTGCTACCATAGAATTTGATTCCATTTCTCCCTGTTGTTGACATAATTTGCGTAAAAGAAACAGTCTCTCTTCTTTAACAACCATGAGATTTTCTTGCATATGTGCAACTTGATCGCATAAAGCTGCATTTTCCTGTAAAATTTAAAATTTATAACTATTCTTGAATTTATATATAAAGTACGAAATTATATACACTTTCTAAACGAAATTGCAACTAAAAATATAAAACTTGTACAGTAAGACTTACAAAAACAGTATTCTTCACAATCCTTTTGAGCTTGTGGTACTTTTTCTTATATTTTAGATTTAATTGTAGTTCAGTATTTTTATGATAATCGTTGTAATAACTATCATACGTTTGAGCCATATTATAATATTATTAATAAAATATTGCACGTGTACAAATTAAGAAACTGAATTGTATTACACACATGTATATTATATTTGATTGACAATAAGACTGACAACTAGAGGTTAGAAATTCCAAAATTCCGTTGATTTTGTAGTTACATATTCTGTATTTATCTCTTCAGAGAGGAGCACTTAAAATAATTTACGCACTTAAGATATATGTATAGATTTTAATGAGAAAGTTTCAGAAAATGCAATAAACAAAATCAAAGTGTATATTTATTATTTCATATTACGTCACACAAAAGTTGACAGGAGAGATTGCAGAGATCTCTTGCGGAGAGTTGTGAACTATAGAGAGACGCTGTGATTGGTCATTTTTTGGCGCTCATATGAAGTATATGCAACTAGTCCATCTAGATAATCTTTGTAGTGCGCAGCTCGCCTAAACGGAGACAATTATTGAATCGCGTCGCGACAAAAATTACAAAATCGTAATTAAATCATGTCGTATCGTTTGCATCCGTCCGTCTAAAAGTGAGTTTAGTACGCGAAGTTATTGTAGCGAGTGAATTTAATCCGCGAAAAGTATTTATTGCGAATAAATTTAACGCGCAAAGTGCAAGAATTTGTGCGGGAAAAATGTTATGGTGAGATGTCGCGCGCGAAAATATTATCGCGAATATTTGTTATAAAATGTCGAATTTCGTCTCAACATCGCAGATGCATGTTAATATGGTATGTGCAGTCGTATTATTTCAAGTACATATATTTGCAATAAATATAAAAACTTATCAATATATCTTCATATTTGTCAGATATTTTATTCATGAAAATAATTATCAATAATAATCTGATTTACTCTAAATGTTTATACCGGTATAACAATAATGTTAAATAAAAATAAATCTCAATATTGTGACTGTCGTATTAAAAATTTATTCTTCTTGTTTGCAGAATCAATGAAAAATAAATCTATGTGTATATTTTATTTCATATTTTACAGCATATTAAAATCGACAGAAGAGACCTCTTGCGAAGAGCTGTGAACTACAGACAGACGCGTGATTGGTCAATTTCTGCGCATGTATAGTACATGCAGTTAGTTCATCTAGATAATCTTTGTAGTTCGCGACTCATCGCCTAAACGGAGAACCGGAGAACGGGAATGAGTACGAATCGCGTCGCGATAAAAATTACAAAATCGTAATTAAATAGTGTCGTATCGTTTGCATCCGTCCGTCTAAAAGTGAGTTTAGTACGCGAAGTTAGTGTAGCGAGTGAATTTAGTCCGCGAAAAGTATTATTACGAGTGAATTTAACGTGCGAAGTGTTAGAATTATTGCGGGAATTTGCGCGGGAAAAGTGTTAGGCGGGATGTCGCGCGCCAAAAGTATTACCGCGAGAATTTGTGTAAGACGCCAAATTTTGTCTCAACGTCGCAGGCGCATGTAAATATGTGCAGGTATGTGCACTCGTATTATTTCATATGCATATATAATATATTATATATATATATATATATATATATATATAATTTTAATATATATATATATATATATATATATATATATATATATGTTTATGTATATATATATTTTTTATTTTATTTTTCAATGAAATATATAAATAAACTTATCCATATCTTTATTTGTTTAATCAAATATATCATTTTTACAAATATTTATAACGTCTTTTATTATATAATCCGATTTTATTTCAAATATTTATATTGGTATAAAAATAATTTTCAATAAAGATAAATCTTAATATTGTGATTTCCGTATCAATAATCATGTAGAATCATAACCAGTTTCGATCAGAAGCGTCGTACATTATTATCTTCCCGCTACAAGGATCTTGATTATGTGAACAGCTCTAATTAACCTGAGAGGAGGAGCAGGCTTAGGAAAAGCATCGGGCACTGGCCGAGCAACCTTGGGGTAAATATATTTATTATTGCATATAATACTTTATTATAAATACGAATATGTTATTATTTCTCTATTTAAATAGTTTAAATAGTTTAAACAAGAGAATAGAAAAAAATACTTTTGATATAAATTATATAAAATAAGTTCCTACAAAAGTTTATATTTAAAAACATAATCTTTGTAAAATTTTTAATTATAATTATTTAACTAATATATTTTTATTAATATTATTGTATGCGTTTTGAATATAAAATTCAATGAGTACACTGATAATTTTTATTAGAAATATTAATTTTGCGTATAACTATAATTTGAGTTTTATATATTACAGATCAGCGAAGCTTTGATGCAGATGAACTCCGCTGATGATACTCATCGATTGGTGAGTAATTACAATAATAATTTCTTAATTCAAATGTGTTTATAATAATATATTTTTCTGGTAAAATTGCTTTGATTATATATTTGAAAAAAATGCATTAAAAAAAATATACATTTATATGTATATATTCTATACCAAATGTTATGTTTAAAAATATGAAAATTAAATTATTTTATGACAAAGAATGGAAAAATATATTTTATTTTATATAGAGGTTTATCATATAAAAATATAGAGAAATTTTAACTATCAGTTATTAAGTGGAAAAAATTTAGTAAAAAATAATATTTATAAATAAAAACGTATAATAGGAAGTTATTATATATCATAGTATAATTTTATATATTTATCATAATATATTACAATAGAGTTTATTGTTAATATTAAATGTAGATTGATTGGACATACCCATAATATAAAGAAACGTTTCAGACTTTAAATTTACAAAGAAATTTATTTGTTTATATGTTAATGCAACTGTAATAAAAGAAATTTATAATTAATTAATAAAAGAAACATTAAAAACAATTTTGATAAACTTTTTCTATATTTATGAGAAAATTGAAAAGTAGGGAAGTTGAGAAGAAAGTAAATCTGTAAAAGATTTATTTCGAAAATACGATTTATTAACTTGCCGAACCTAAATTCTGTGACACGCGCTCACACGCATTTACACGCGACATTTCGTTATCGCACGCGCTTTTCTGCATATTCTCACACACTCGATATATAAAATCTAAAAGGTCGCTATACTTAAACACCGTGACTCGTAGCTTGTCCGATAAACGTTACGCTATCCTAGAAATCGTGTTAATTACTATGTCGATACGAGTTGCTCGATCGTGCGCGATCATCACCGCCGTCGTTACAACGATTACACAGAACTCTGTAAAACATCGTGACACAATACATCAAAGATACCCAATCTTCATTATGCGATTCATTTCGCTCATACTGTATTTATCCTAGAGCATTTCTTATAAAAAATGAACTGTCATCAATAAGCTGCAATGTTGACCGTCGGTGGAAATCTTATCAAAAATTGTGAAAGAGAAAAAGAAAGAATTTTGTATTGTTTAATAAAAAATTATACATATATATATAATGAAATAAATTTTAGAGGCAGATATCAATTTCTCTGATAATGAGTTGCATCTTTTAAATATAATAAAAAATTGAATCATACTAAAAATACCCACAAATATAAACATATGATTTACGATATATATGTTCACAATATATTATATATATATATCATAAATATATTATTAAATATTATTTAGCAATAAAAACTAAAGAGCAATTAAAGAGTAACATCTTTAATTACAAAATAATATATTTAAAAATAAAAATAAATTGCTTTTTAGAATTATTTGTCTTTTAGTTAATGTCAGAGAGCCACTTGTTCAATTTTTCATATTTTTGCATAATTAGTTTTCTATTTCTCAAACTTTTATGAACTTTCCACAAACGATCAATTTTTCTGCAATCGCATACGAATGATGCTATTCCTATTAAAGCGACGGATTTATGGATGCATAAAATACAATAAATCAGCTTAAAAGAATAATAAACTTATCTGTGAAAAGTGATTAATATATTTAAAAGATATATTAATCTGAGTTTTTACTTATATGTATAGTTAATAAGTTCACAAATTTCATTTTACTGCAAATTCTTTATATGTAAAAAATTATGTAATTAATGTTATCCCAAACTATTTAGGAAAACTTCCCTTAAACGTAAGTACTTATCAACATTTTTCTTGCAATTTTTTTCTTGTAAAAAGTTTTTATAAATTCATTATTTCTAATTTCATTTTCATTAAATTGAATAAGGATTAGATCGCAGTATTACTTTGTGATTATATTAATTGGAAAAAGTTTGACGCGAGAGTTTATAAAACATTAATATTATATATACATATATATATATATATATATATATATATATATATATACAAAACTCAATATACATTGACATCGTATTTAAGTTATGTTAAATGTAGCGCATTTAATATAAACACGCTAAAACTCGCATTTATTTCTGATAACGTAATTAGTCGCAAATTTTAATACTACGATCATAAAGTAATCACATATAATTCTTATTAAAGATAAAAATTAGATGTGGAGACCATAGATCCGACGCTGTTATATATTACAAGTGTGCAAATCTTTATTATCACCCGTGTCAGCGAGATTAAGCTAATCTAGTAATTCATTTTCCAACCTTGTATACTTATAACGATCTCGCAGTCAGAATAAGCGCTTTGAGACAGAAAGAAAAATCTGTACCCAGATGTATTCTTATTTAATCAGAATTACTTGTGTGTGTTCACACTTCCATAAAAGTAATTTTCTCGATTAGGCTGCATCATTTAGGCAAATTTTGCCGACAACTTAACATTCATTCTATAATGTACAATAGTGTATAATCGGTGATATTAATATTTGTGCGACAAATATACACGGGAAAAATTAGCTATTATAGCTAAATTTTAGCCATCCCTATATTAAACATAAAATTTAATTATCATGCCTAAATTTTAGTTATGATAGCTAATATTTTTTGCTATACCATTCTCTTGTTAAATTATAGCTAAAAAATATTAGCTATTATAGCTAAAATTTAGGTATGATAACTAAAATTCAGGTTGCAACATGAAGACCATTTAGCCATGGTAGCTAATTTTTTTCTTGTATATATTTCGGTAAATTTGAGCAAAATTAACATTTGTTTTAGTACGACAATAACAATTAAATATGCTTTGCTGGATTTTATTATAAATAAGAATAATTTTGTTTATATGAATGCATAAAACTTGTAAAAATATTCAAAAGGTCTTTTAATCGATTGTTTCGATTGAAAATATCGCAATTTATTTGCGAAGTAAAGATGATTCTTTTTTATTGAAATAATACGATTTGGTAGATTTGCTTTTTTCGAGTCAATCGGGTTTACATAGCTGACTTTTTATAAGTCAATATTTATATACGAATAATATGCAGGGTCTGTTCTAGACGCG